CTTTAGAATTTTTTTTAAGTGTCTGCTGGCAGCAAATTCTTAGCTTTTGCCTGCTTGTGAATGTCGTTGTTTCATCTTTATTCCTTAAAGATGTTTTCAGAGACACAATTTATTTTTCTTTAGCACATTGAAGATGTTACTCCACTGTCTTCTAGATTTCATCATTGCTAATTAAGAAGTCAGCAGTCGGCCGGGCGCGGTGGCTCAAGCCTGTAATCCTAGCACTTTGGGAGGCCGAGACGGGCGGATCACGAGGTCAGGAGATCGAGATCATCCTGGCTAACACGGTGAAACCCCGTCTCTACTAAAAAATACAAAAAACTAGCCGGGAGAGGTGGCGGGCGCCTGTAATCCCAGCTACTCGGGAGGCTGAGGCAGGAGAATGGCGTAAACCTGGGAGGCGGAGCTTGCAGTGAGCTGAGATCTGGCCACTACACTCCAGCCTGGGCGACAGAGCGAGACTCCGTCTCAAAAAAAAAAAAAGAAGTCAGCAGTCACCTGTTTCTTCTTTGAGAGGAATTGTTCTTTTTTCCCTCTGGCTGCCTTTCAGATGTTTCCTCTCTCTCTGTGATATTTTATAGCTTCACTTTGATGTGCCTAGATATAGATTTGTTTTTATTTATCTTGCCTGGGGTTTGTTGGGCTTCATAAATCTGTGGATTGGTATCTTTCATCAGTTCTGTAAAAGTCTCAGGGTACTCCTTGTTAACATTTGTCTCTGCTCCATTTTTCTTCTAGAATTATGATCAAACATGCACTAATTAGACCTTTTATTGTATTCTCTTTGCTTCTCAGGCTATGCTCCAAAAATTTACTTTGTTCTAATACTCAGTTTATAGTTCTGTCTTAAGTTGTTTCCAATCTGTTTTTAAATCACTCCATTGAATTTTAAATCTCAGTTACTGTATTTTTTAGTTTGTAGAAAGTCTGTTTGGTTCTTTTCAAATCCACTAGATCTGTGACTTCCTACCACCTATATTTCCAGCCTTTGCCTTTTATTATTTTTTAATGCTGTAAGCAAAGTTGTTTTATAGTTGATAATTCTTGTATCTGTGGTCTTTGTCCCTTCATACTAGCTGTTATGTCTTAACAGTTTTCCCTGATCCCACCTTACTTCCTCATAGGTTTGATTGTCTTTCATTATGTGCCACTTATTTTTTTTTTTAAAGATAATTATCTATATTAATATGAGACCTAGATTTTAAGATACTTCCCCTCAGGATTGTGCTGTGTGCCTGGGCACATTGCAAGTCCCAGTTACTTTAAATGTAAAGTATCCTAGAACACCAGAGGTGAACATTCATGACATTCTCATTCATCTTTACCTTATGGGTATAGCTGATTGGGAATCCTTAGTATCGGGAGGAAGTTCTATTAGACCTTCCACTTTGGGCAGATCCTGGGCTTCGACATTGGTTCTGTTCATCATAACCAAAGATCAGACTTGCCTAATGCGTAAATGCCCCTGGGGTAAAGCATCTGTGTTCTGCTTACCTCTCAGGGTTCCTGCTTTTTCCTTTAGCTTTGGTTCCATCACTTGTGTATTAAACCATTATGGGAACTGCCTCCAGAAATAGCGTTTTAAAATTTTAGTCTAGCCATAAAAATAGAGAATGCTTACTCTCTGGATATAAATGCCATAGCAATAACTTTGAACTCCTACATTACATGCCTTTTATGTAAGGCAAACCTCAGTACACATTGAGAGACAGTGTCATATACTTATTAAGATCACAGGCTCTGCCGGGCGCGGTGGCTCACGCCTGTAATCCCAGCACTTTCAGAGGCTGAGGCGGGCAGGTCACAAGGTCAGGAGATCGAGACCATCCTAGCTAACACGGTGAAACCCCGTCTCTACTAAAAATACAAAAAATTAGCCAGGGCGTGGTGGCGGGCGCCTGTAGTCCCAGCTACTCAGGAGGCTGAGGCAGGAGAATGGCGTGAACCTGGGAGGCGGAGCTTGCAGTGAACCGAGATTGTGCCACTGCACTCCAGCCTAGGCGACAGAGCGAGACTCTGTCTCAAAAAAAAAAAAAAAAGATCACAGGCTCTAAAATCAGACTGCTTTGTTTAAATCCTGGCCCTGCCATGTAGCAATACCCTGTGTTTATTTATGCAAGATACTTAATCTCTCTGTGCCTTGGTTTCTTCATTTAAAAAAGCAGAATAATAGCTTGCCTCATGTGGTCATTATGAAAAACAAATGAGGCCGGGCACCGTGGCTCATGCCTGTAATGTCAACGCTTTGGGAGGCTACGGCAAGCAGATCACCTGAGGTTGGGAGTTCGAGACCAGCCAGGCCAACATGGAGAAACCCCGTCTCTACTGAAAAAAAAATAATAATAATACACACACACACACACAAATTACCTGGGTGTGGTGGCACATGCCTGTAATCCCAGCTACTCAGGAGGCTGAGGCAGGAGAATCACTTGAACCCAGGAGGGAGGTTGCAGTGAGCCAAGATCGCGCCATTACACTCCAGCCTGGGCAACAAGAGCAAAACTCCATCTAAAAAAAAAAAAAAAAGTGAGATAAAGCAAGGCAAGTAAACATTTAGCATAGCGCCTGGCCCACAATTGGCTTTCACGTGCTTAGGACAGTCAGACCTATAGTAAGTGCTCAATAAATAGTCACTAATTATTATGTTAAGCATTTATCAAGTGTCTGCTGCACCAACAAGTGTGTGTTAAATTCTCTTGATCTTTGGCTGTATCCAGGTTAGGAAGATGATCACCCTTGCAGGAAACAAATGGAGAACAATTAGACAGCAGTAATGAAGTTATTTGCTGAAATAATGGTGAAGTTTTTGAAGTAACTTAATGTTTTATAAATTTATGATCAGAATAGCAAAGAGTCAGTGCCTTTTGGTGAAAGTGGTTTCTAAACTAGGACTATGAGGAAGTGGAACCGTGCAGGCTGGCAGCAATGAGGCCGGAGGCTGTTGTGAACAACAGCCGTGAACATGACACGGGGCCGACACTTCCCATCTGGATGCAGTTTTTAAAGTGTTTCTCCATATTGAGGTTCTCACTACAACACTCTGAGGCCACTGCATTTCTTTTCACTTTGTTGATGAGAAAAACAAGGCCTAAAGAATTGTGTGGAATAGTAGAAAGAGACAGGCTGGGACAGTCCGCAGGCTGGCGATTCCTGGTGAGGTGAGGATGGCCATATTGCATGGCCCAGAAACTTTATTGATAACTAGAGTGTGACATTGTGTGTATAAAAGTTAAAAGACAGCAAACACTAATGCGGTATGTATTGTTTATGGACACCTACAAAGGCAGGAGAGGTACAGAGAAAAAAAAACAAAGTACCAAGAGCAATAAACAAAACCCTACCCGTTTTAGGGCAGTGGTTGCTCTGGGGCAGGGAAGGAAGTTCATCTGAAATAAATATGGCAAAGCTAACATGTTTTGTCCCTGATTATTACCTAGGCATCTGATATATTGTTTTCTCTGTGTGTAAAATTATATATATATATATATATTTATAATGTATATATGATACTTTTTTTTTAAATAAAGAAGCTTTAAAAAAAGCAAACTTTGGAATCAAGTAGACCTTGGTTCAAAAGCTGCCACCCATTTACTCAAATTCCTTTCTCTCGCCGATCTTCAGTTTCCTCATCTACAAAATGGAGTAATCATTACTTCTTTGGTGTTCTCATGAGGACTGGATGAGATGATATTTGTAAAGTGCCTAGTATAACCTCTAACTTCTTATAGGTAGGTCCTCAATAAATCATGCTTTTTATAGTAAATGAATAATCCAAGGCCACAGGTCTGTCTCTGGCGGCTGCAGAATTTGAACGCAGATGTCCCGACCCCAAGTCCAGAGCTGCTTCCATTGAGTTGTGTGAAGAGGATACTGTTAGTGGAGGAGCAGGGTCACAGCACCACAGCTCTAGCGACCCGCGGCAGCGTCACCAGGACAAAAGCTGCCGCTGCATTACCTCCCCCTCACCTCTGCAGCCCCTCTGGGAACAATCTTCTGTTTTGTGTTTTGCTTTGTTTTGTTTTGTTTTGTTTCTGAGATGAAGTCATACTCTGTAGCCCAGGCTAGAGTGCAGTGGCGAGATCTCGGCTCACTGCAACCTCCGCGTCCTGGGTTCAAGTGATTCTCTGCCTCAGCCTCCCGAGTAGCTGGAATTACAGGTGCGCGCGCCACTGCACCTGGCTAATTTTTTTGTATTTTTTAGTAGAGACGGTGTTTCACCATGTTGGCCAGACTGGTCTTGAACTCTCGACCTCAGGAATCCACCCACCTTGGCCTCCCAAAGTGCTAGAATTACAAGCGTGAGCCACCTCGCCCAGCCTGAACAGTCAGTCTGTAAAACCTGGCAATCAAAGCCAAATCCAGAAGTGAGAACGTCTTCACAGTTTTATTGACAATGGCATTGAGAGTATTAAGAAGAAACATTGGAACTGAGAAGAGATAAATAGAACCTTTTTTTTTTTCTTTTTAGCTGCTCTGTCCAGCAGCTTAGGCCAGATTAGGTTTATGGTCATTAACAACCCAAAAATCTCAAGGACTTCCAATAGCAAATGTGTCTTTCTTGCCCATCTCCGGTGTGGGACACAGGCTGCTCTAGGTCCTCTCCAGCTGGAGCCGGAGTGGAAGGAGCGGCCCCTGTCTGGGCCCCTGGAGGACTGAGGAGAGGTGGGGCTGGGCAGCTCCCCCTGTGAAGCTGTCAGAGCTTCTGCCTCAGCACGGGAACGGGCAACTGAAGTCACACTGCCTGTGCATGTGTATTGGTTACTAGAAATTTCTAGATATCTGGCCATTGAGGGGAAGTTTGGGAAAATGAAAAATTCGTCTGAGTAAGTGGAGAGGCCACTTGATGTAGGGCCTCAAACTCAGTTCTGGAGCTGCTTCTGGACGTTGAAATATTTCGCTACTGGAAGAAAAGCTATTTTGCAATCATGTTTTTAAGCACGAGTCTGGTTCGATGATGATCCTATTTTGACTTTTACCTTTCCCTCTTTTGTTGACAGTGTTATCAGCAAGGTGGTCCCTGCGCCCGAGGCCAAGCCGGCGCCCTCGCAGAACAGGCCGAAGACCCCGCCGCCGGCCCCCGCGCCCACCCCCGGCCCCATGCTCGTGAGCCCTGCGCCCGTGCCGCTGCCGCTGCTCGCCCAGGCCGCCGCGGGCCCTGCCCTGCTGCCCTCCCCGGGTCCTGCCGCCTCCGGGGCCAGTGCCAAAGCTCCCGTGCGCAGCGTGGTGACTGAGACGGTCAGCACCTACGTGGTGCGTACCTGCCGCCCGAGCGGTTAGCCTGGAGACGTTTTCGGTTCAAGACAAGTGTGTGCTCTGAGTCACTGTCGAATTTCAGAGGCATTTCTCTTTAAAATTTTATTATTTATTTATTTATTTTTGAGACAGGGTCTCCCTATGTACAGTGGCCCAATCATAGCTCACTGCAACCTCAAACTCCTGGGCTCAAGCTATCCTCCTGCCGTAGCTTCTCGAAGTGATGGGGTTACAGGCCTGAGCCACTGCCCCTGGCCAGGCACATTTCTTTTTCTTTTTCTTGTTTTTTGAGATGGAGTTTCGCTCTTATTGCCCAACCTAGAATGCAGTGGTGAGATCTCGGCCTGCTGCAGCCTTCACCTCCCAGGTTCAAGTGATTCTCCTGCCTCAGCCTCCTGAGTAGCTGGGATTACAGGCGCCTGCCACCATGGGTGGCCGATTTTTTGTATTTGTAGTAGAAACAGGGTTTCACCAGGTTAGCCAGGCTGGTCTTGAACTCCTGACCTCAATTGATCTGCCTGCCTCGGCCTCCCAAAGTGCTGGGATTACAGGCATGAGCCACTGCGCCTGGCCTTTTTTTTTTTTTTTTTTTTGAAAGGGGATTTCACTTTGTCACCCAGGCTGAAGTGCAGTGGTACGATCTAGGCTCACTGCAGCCCCTGCCTCCCAGGCTCAAGCGATCCTCCCACCTCTTGAGTAACTGGGGATCTCAGGCAGTCACCACCACTGTTGATTAATTTGTTGTATTTTTTGGTAGAGACAGGGTTTCACAATGTTGCCCAGGCTGGTCTCCAGCTCCTGAACTCCAGCGATCCACCTATTTCGGCCTCCCAGAGTGCTGAGATTACAGGCATGAACCACCAAGCCCAGCCAAGATGCATTTCTTCATTGCCATTTTTCACTGCATTTTCAAGCTTTTGGCTGAAAAGTTACACTGCAGTGTTCACATAGTCAACCTCCATAAATAACATCAAAGCATTGTGTTTATGTTGTTTTGGGTATGACTATATACATATAGACAATAATATCAATCTGTAAATGTAGAGATGCACAGTGGTGCTGAAATCTCACACTGAATTTCTTGATCAAGCAATTCAGTTATTCACTTGAGTGTAATTTATATAATGTACACTGATATTATGAGCCAGGTGGTGTTTCTGAATAATAGCACTAGTTATATTTTATTGGCTATGATCCAGAATATGGCAGGGCTTGCATATTAAATGGAAATGAACCACCAAATTCCTGAGTATCCAAGCATGACTTCAAATTGTAAAACCAGCTGAACGCAGTGGCTCACGCCTGTAATTCCAGCACTTTGGGAGGCTGAGGCGGGTGGATCACTTGAGGTCAGGAGTTTGAGACCAGCCTGGCCAACATGTTGAAATCCCATCTCTACTAAAAATACAAAAAAATTAGCTGGGCATGGTGGCTCATGCCTGTAATCCCAGCTACTCGGGAGGCTGAGGCACGAGAATTGCTTGAACCCAAGAGGCAGAGCTTGCAGTGAGCCAAGATGGTGCCACTGCCCTCTAGCCTGGGCAACAAGAGCGAAACTCTGTCTCAAGAAAATAAATCCCACCATGTCGAATGAGTCCACGTTGTTCTGGGACTGTTTTTAGTTGCTTTCCTCTTACTTGATAGTATTAGGTCTTATTCAAACCCTGAATGCAGTCTGGCAGTAAAGTATTTATACAGATTATGTTCTTTGGACACTATAGAATTAAACACACAAACACACAACAAATATTTAAGGTGTATGGAACCGTTGCCATTGCTGTGACTACCAAATCCACAGACTGTGATATGTTAGCCTAATGGTGGCCCTGACCTTGTGTAATTAGGTAGGTACTAATATGATTGGAAAGTGGCCGGGTAGGACTCATGGTATTTGTCATTATAAACTGTACAATATTACATTTCTTTTTTTTCTGTTTTTGTTTTTTTTTTTTCTTTTGAGTAGTCTCCCTCTTCTTGTCTATACTGAAATGCAGTGGCACAATACCACTCACTGTAGCCTCGACCTCCTGGGCCCCAATGGTTGCCTCACCTCAGCCTCCCAAGTAGCTGGGACCACAGGCGTCTGCCACCACACCTGGCTGTTTCCTGGCTGGTTTTTTTGTTTTTGTGTATGTGGAGATGATGTCTCCCTATGTTGCCGAGGCTGCTCTCAAACTCCTGGACTCAAGCAATCCTCCCACCTTGGTCTCCCAAAGTGCTGAGATTACAGGCGTGAGCCACCATGCCTGACCTATTATTAAATTTCCTTAAAGGAGTTTTGGAAGGAACTTCTAAAACCGTGATCATCCAGTTGGTCCGTTCAGGGACCAATCGTTGTAAGTATTTAATTGAGGCAACATTACCCCCAAATGGGTTGATCAGGAAAGATTTTGTACTTAACCTCCTCGACCTTTGTGTCTTTATCTGTAATTAAGAAGTTTGTGTTAAACTTGGTGATCTCTGTGGTATGTTCCAGCTCTGGAAGTTCTGGTTTTCCAGTAGATCTTTGAACTAACTCACCTCCTAGAGATGAGTCCAGCTGGAATAGACAGTGTAGAAGGAAAGCTTTCTGGCTGTGCATGGTGTCTCACGCCTCTAATCCCAGCATTTTGAGAGGCTGAGGCAGGCGTATCGCATGAGCCCAGGAGTTGAGACCAGACTGGGTGACATAGTGAGACCCCATCTCTGCAGAAAATACAAAAATTAGCCGGGCGTGTTGACATGTGCCTGTAGTGTCAACTACTCAGGAGGCCGAGCTGGGAGGATCACCTCAGCCTAGCGAGGTCAAGGCTACAGTGAGCTGTGATCACACCACTGCACCCCAGCCTGGGCGACAAAGTGAAACCCTGTCTTTAAAATAAAAATGACAATTTTAAAAAAGTCTTCTACCTCATGAAGAGACGCTTTGTGGGCAGAGGACAAAATGTGTGATTTAGATGACATATGCAGGCTAGAGAGCAAAAAGGCAGATTTTGTCACTGCCTAATGGTGTGATGTTGGAAATGCACTTAAATTCTCTTAGCTCCGGTTTCCCCATTCATAAGCTACCCAGAGGTTGCTTTACAATGATTAAACGAAATGAGATGTTTAGAGGAATGTAGTAAGCTGTGAAGTACTTGGTGTTAGTTCCTGTCGATGCTGTGGCAAAGCTCTTGTGCAGCACATAGTGTCACGGCCTTCTGACTTCAAGCAAGGTCAGCCAGCAGCAGGACTGGCCACACGTGGGAGCTTCAGGGCATAGGATGTTCCACCAGCCTTGGCCACGAGACAGCGGGTACGGGTGACTGCTGGTTCTCACCCCTTGTTACTTTTTCTCCTGAAATTACAGAGGGTCAGAGATGTAGTCGCCCACAGATTTCTTTAGGAAGTTTTCCTGTCAATGTAGTTTGCCTTTGTAGAGTTGCCTTAAAGGAAGCCCATCAGTACAGTGAAACGTATATGCACCCCCAATGCACCTGTCACACACAAAGAAAGCCTTTTTAAAAGCACATCTAGTCAGTGTGGTATTTGAAAGTCTAGGAAGAACTATCCCTTATGAAATAAACCGGATGCAATAATGTGCTCTGTTATTGTAAACACTTTTGAAATTACCTTTTTCTTATTGCTGGTGTTTAATGCCCATCAGTGAATTACTTCTTCCAGGTTGGCTCTGTTCATGTGGAGTTTGAGGAAGTGGTTAATAGGATGTTCCCTCTTTAGGACTGCTAAGTTAAATAAAGTCAACTCCAGAGTACACAACATTTGTAGCAAAATAATGTTGAACCTTATAGCTCTTTGGTTTCCCTATCCCCTTATTTCATTTGCCCTTTAGTTGATTGTACTTTACTAAAAATGTCATAAAGGGAATGGAAAGTTACTTAGTAACAACTCTTTTATATACTTGATCTTATCAGCTCGTTCAGGAGAAGGGCTTGGCTAATAAGTAATAAGATGGTGCATGCACATTTGGCTGTCTATATTAATTCCATGCCTATGAATGTGATTGAGAAAAACCACATAGAAAGTGGAGGTCTGTAGCTTTCAAAAAATCAGTTGTTACCACCCTTATAGAGATCCAAATCATTAGGAATGTATGTAGTTACAGTTTTTTTTTTTTATGAAAGGGGTTACAGGTCATATTGTTCGCAGAGATGATTATAAAATGCTTATTTTTTATGACTTACAAAAGAAAGCTTAGAATATTCATTAGAAATGTCTTATCATTGAACACTTGGCATTTTTCTGTTTCACGATTCTAAAACAGTGATGACGCTGATCATGGCATTAATGAAGTGCTGATCTACTATATTTTTTAGTTTAATGTGCCTCTTGGTTCGGTTAAACAGTATAAAGTAATCATTCTGATCTGACCTCTTTTTGGTTTTTTTCCCATTCCCTCCATTTTTGCCACTTCCACTTTGCAAACATCAGATCCGAGATGAGTGGGGCAATCAGATCTGGATCTGCCCTGGGTGTAACAAGCCTGATGATGGGAGTCCCATGATTGGCTGTGACGACTGCGATGACTGGTACCACTGGTGAGTGCCCAGGGCGCCCTGCCGGCCACACGCATCAGGCAGCTCAGCCTCTCCTGAGACAAAGCGTCCACTGAGTAGATTCCTGCCTTTGGACTGACCCAGGGCTGTCCTAGGGACAGTACATGGAGTCAAATCACAGAGCCTCTGAAATGCAATTAACTGCAAAACCCAAGAGTCTTTAGACTATTGTTATTCACCCTGAATTCTGAACATTCTGCTTAGCTTATCTATCCTTCTTATTAAAAATAATAATACTAAAAGGAGACCCAGGGGCATCCCTGACCTTCCTTTCCGGTAATGTTCCCTAGAAGCTGTAGCACTGGCCAGGACCACGAAGAGGCTGCCCCTTTGTAAGGATGGTACAAACTGCAGGACTAAAGACTGCTTAACTTTTTTAAACCTCTTCAGCGGTTCCTAAAAACTGAAAAGCTCAACCAAAATTTATGCAGATAATCTTCTCGTGTTATCTTTAAAATGTCAGATACAAAAAGATAGCAACCTGTTCAGTTATGATATACGATATCTGTGAGATAAAGACAAAGCCGTGGCTCAGAAGCCTCCTCTTCCTGGTTGAAAGGAGGAATGAACTAATGAATCTCTGCAGAGGGGCGTGTAAAGGGCGTGTCTGTGATATCCTAGTCTGCATGCCCAACAGTAGTGCTGCTTGGCTTTGATTTCGGGTAAACATGTCGTAGACTTTAAAAAGTACTTTAAAACAGAAGGGAGGAGAATGGACTGTATAAAGTTGCTTATCTGAGCTTGCTTTCATGTGTAGGCCCTGTGTGGGAATCATGACTGCACCCCCAGAAGAGATGCAGTGGTTCTGCCCCAAGTGTGCGAACAAGAAGAAGGACAAAAAGCACAAGAAGAGGAAGCATCGAGCGCACTGACGGCTCCCGAGGGGCTGGACCAAGCGGGGTCAGCCCAGGCTTCCTCCCTGGCGCCCCTGGAAGGGAGCTGGTGCAGTTCTGCCATCACATCCACCCCAGATGCCTGTGGATAAAGAACCCAGGAGGACTGCGGCTGGAACACACCGCGCACCTGCATTGTTCACTCCCCAGCCGCGTTGGCCTGTGGCTCCGTGGCAATGCGACAGAAGGAAACTCGAGCAGAGGCGTGGCCTGGGGGCTGCCCCTCCTCCGCTTCTCTAATACCAGTGACAAGTATTATTAATAAAGAGCGTACATCTTCCCTTTTGATTTCCTTTATTCTCTCCAGGGCCTTTTCATTGAGGTATTAGATGAGAAGATAATGTACAAACTGCCTCAACTGTAATTTAAGGATGATAGAGTCTGTATACAGTTTTCAGCCCCTTTCCCTCTATAGTAAGATAATCAGAATAACATAAAAGAAAACTCCAGTTGGAGTACCGGTAAATATTTTTGTGATAAGAATATATGAAGCTTCCCTCCTTCCCCCGTTTTTAGTACTAACATGTAAAATGTTCAGGCTTTTGTGAAATACCTTATATTTTTTAAGAAAAAGGTTTCTATCATGTCCTGTTTGCTTTTGTGCAAATTATTTTTGTTTCATGTATTTTATATCTTCGTTGCATTCTAATTTTGCCCTTCTTTAAACTGCTGGCGTCTCTTCTCACTGCTTGTACATTTCATCAACTTGTATAAAAACTCTTCAGACTAAAAGATTGCCCCTAATGTAAATAATAAATATTTATGAAGTAGTTATTTTTTAAATTTTTATCGTGTTTAATTCTGGCTTTCTCTGAAATCCACTGTGATTTCAGCCAGGTCTGTAATGACGCTGGACAGAAACAAAGAAGGCTAAAGAAAAAGCCATCGTTCAAAGAAATTTCCCTTGAGCTCAACCTGTGCAGTGCCCGAAAATATCGTGGGGGAAAGGGCCCGAGCAGTTGGAAGGAAAACAAGGCAATTTAAATTTAGAGTTTATGATTTGAAGGTGTTTCGTTTGTTGTCTGTTTTGTTTTTGTAAATTTCTTTGACAGACTTTTACTAAAAGGACATGTAGTTTCCATGAAAGTAAAAAAAAAACAAAAAAAATAACAACCCACATATACTGTAGCATTTTGTCTTTATATTGTTTTATTTCTACAAATCTGTTCATTAATATTGTGCTTTAAGGCTGAAATGAAGTATATTATGAATTTTTTAAAGAAAACTCATCAAATTTCAGGGTATCACAAAACTTTATTATATTATTATACTGCCCACTATTTATTATATGTTATAGATGTCTGAGAGGTAAACCAAATATTTTATTTTTAATGTTAAAAAAAACATCAAATTTAACTTTATTAGCATATTTTAGCAACTTTGGAATAAATATGGACTTTTACTTGATTTTGAAATAATCCCAGTGTAGGCCCATGTACTGGATCTCTTGGATGCTAGAATATGGGCTTTGAACCTAATACAAATATATTACTAGAAAATGTGATTTTTTTAAATGCCAAGTAAATTGATATTAGTGTATGGATTAGTCATATTTTAAAACATTATGTGGTTAGAGAAATGCAGTTTTCTGCCGTGAATGTGGAGTTGCAAATCAGTGGAAATGGAGTCGACCTCTTCAGAGTGCAGGGTGTCATTGCCCTCCTTGTTCAAGAGGCCTGAATTTTTCTAGCCCTGCAAAGAAACAAAGCATCTATGTTGAGATATGTGTTTTTTTGTTTTATTAATTTGAGATCATTCTAAATACTTTATACAATATTTTCACATGCACAAAAATGCGCGTTAGTGGTTTTTGGAGAGGGGTGAGGGGTGGGGGAAGTGCAAAATAAAGATTATTGGCTATTTCATAGTTTGCTTTTCCATTTTCTTTATTTAGGATTTAGTTCCTTGAGGCATGGTCCATGATCTGAAGTTGCCACGTTTAAGTGAGCAGGTCATGCTACTGAAACCAGAATGGAGGTGCTTGTATGTAACTTTCCCCCGATCTTCCTGTCTGAGAGACTTCAGCCCATGCTACATTCAAGGAATTTCAATCAGTTTGTTGTCCCTTGCTATTTCATGGTTGCTTTCCTAAATCCAGTTCATGATTTTATAAATGGTCTTTGCAATAATAAAACCAAAGAATCATTTTCAGGGGGCTGGAGAGCTCGAGGGATTAGTAATGGAATACAGAGCCTTTCACCTCTAGGTCAGTGAGTCGGATCCAGTCCAGGTCACTAGAGACCAAAAGTTGTCACCATCTTATGACTGTTCAGTGGCCTGTGTGAAATGAACTGGTGGTCTCTGCCTCTACTGGGTGGCTGGCTGTGACACCAACCAAAGGAAGTTCAAGAAACTGCAAAAAGAAACGTGGATTAGAAAATAAAACGTCTGTGTTACAAAGAAAAAGTTAGAAAGTTGGGCGTAGTCATTTTCCAGAAAGTAATACTGAAGGAAAAAGAGCAACTTACAAATACCACAGACAAACGGAGATTAATTTACTTTCTTTAATGAAGTCAAGCAAAACCGGAAAAGAAAAGCCTGCACTGGGTGAGAGGGGAGGAGGGGGTTAAGTGGGGTGGATGATTCGATCAGGAGAAAAAGTTTAGGGGCCCAAACTTCAGGAAAAAATGGGTTTTGACTTTTGAGGGAGAAGGAAATTGCAAAAGGCAGCAGCAATTTGAGGAACTACTGTAGCAGAATTAGATACAAAGGAATGAAAAGTATTTCCCTTTAGAGGATTTGCAGTTTTCCAGTTGGAAGCAAAATCCTGACTGGTTTTAATTTAGCCCAGCACTATCATTTGAATAGCATCAATGCTCTATAAAGACAAGTAATGGCGGGGGGCTGGGGGGAGGGGCGCGGGGATTGTCCTGACCAGTGATTTTATTGAGGGAGATGGTATTTGAGAAACAGACCCTCACCTCATGAAACCGAGACACCCTTCTGGTGTGATAATCTGCCGTCAGAGCCAGATGGAACTGGCAGCGCTTAATTTCTGTGGCTGACAAGGTGTTTCTCTTCCAAAGGTGTCTACAGTGAGGCACAGTGAGGATCTTTATCCCCTGACTGATTTGTGGTTCCAAACGTCCTGGAGAAAACCAGAGGCTATCAGAGTATTCTGACTTTGTCGGGCTTTTTTCAGAGATAAAATATAGTGTATTACTCTCCTGTATCACCTAAACCGCCTTTGTTCTCCTTTCAATGGGATGATTAAACAAAGACCTACTAACCAAATTGAAGTATAAAATGAACACTGAGATATGGAAACCTTGCCACGAAGAATGCTAATGAAGAAAGTTCACGAAAGCCATGCTGGCTGAGTTTTCAATACAAATAGTTTTATGGCCAATCTCTTTAGATCATAGCAGCTTTCTTTAGAAGTGTAAGTCTAAAAGTAGATGAGTTACCTTGACCAAAGAATGAAACAGATAATGTCTTTTTCCACAATGGTATCAGTCATTCTGTTAGGAAACTATTTCTTTGAGAACCTTGCGTTCATTGTAGCCTAAAAAGTATAAAGTAACTATTAATCCATGTGTGCAGGCCAGTAGATGACATCGAAATGAGATATTTAGGTGGACAGCTTGTTCATTTAGTCTACATACGAGTTACTAAAATGGCTACTGGTTATTTTTTTCATTCTGGGCAACTCAGTTTTAAATTTAGTTTGAAGGACATTGTGAAGTGGTTTCATTTCGTCCACATTGGCTAGGTACATTTTATGGAAATGGCAGTGATGCATCAGAACCAAGCTCATTTCCAGTTGTCTGGTTTCTCATCTGCTCTAGCCCTTCCTCTGGCTCCATGGTTCTGGAATCATTCCCAAAGTATACTATGTATGAAAGTGTATTGCATCAAATTCTAAGTGTATTCCATCTTACTCTTTTCCCACTTTTCCATACATAATCTTTCCATCTTAGGCTGCAACTATTTTTTAATGTTACTAGAGCTTCATGCTTTTAAATTTTACATTCATAACAAAACAAGAACTTAGCAAATGTTTGCATTAACTATCCTAGGAACTAGCAGGGTAGACATGATATTAGAAAATACATGTAGATAGATACATACACCACAAAGTTTAAATGTGTTGGGCTTTCAGAACAGAAGTTCATTTTAGGTACATAGCCCTAAGCAATCATTTCCTACCATATCCTTAGAACCTAGTCAGTATTTTCACCTTTTGAAGTTTCGTGGGTTTTTTTTTTTTTTTTTTTAATTTTTTTTTGGTTTTGTCTTGTTTTTTTTTAATAAAATAAAACAAACAGAATAAGAATATCATTTAGAAAAAAAAAAAAAAAAACCACAAACCTGAAGAATGTCATTGTTATTATCCTTAATGAGTTAACTATTGCCAAGTTAAATGGTTTGAAGAAAATGTTTGTGCTGATCTAGTTAACTCATTCAGAGCATCAGAAGTACTTACCAAAGGAAGTTCAAATCATCCAAAAATATTATCAAGTTATATTCTGATTATTATTATACTGTTTGAGATGTTGATGAAACTTTTTTCTGCTAGCTTTTAGAAAGTGAATATTTATTTATTTATTTATTTATTTATTTATTTATGAAACAGGGTCTTACTCTGTCACCCAGGCTTGAATGCAGTAGTGTAATCACAGCTCACTGTGGCCTCGACCTCCTGAGCAGCTGGGGCCAAAGGCATGTGCTACACATCTTGTTAATTTTTTTTTTTGTGTGGAGACAGGGTTACCCAGATTCATGTCAAACTCCCAGGCTCAAGTGGTCCTCCTGCTTCCACCCAAAGTACTGGGATTACAGGCATGAGTCACTGCACCAAACCAAAAAGGGAATTTTTTTTTTTTTTTTTTTTTTTTTTGAGACAGGGTCTGCCTCTGTTACCCAGGCTGGAGGTCAGTGGTGCAATCTTGGCTCACTGCAACCTCCACCTTCTGGGTTCAAGTGATTCTCCTGCCTCAGCCTCCCCAGTAGCTGGGACTACAGGCACCTGCCACCACACTGGCTAATTTTTTGTATTTTAGTAGAGATGAGGTTTCACCATGTTGCCCAGGGTGGTCTCGAACTCCTGAGTTCAGGCAATCCGCCCGCCTCAGCCTCCCAAAGTGCTGGGATTACAGGCGTGCACCACCGCACCCAGCCAAAAAGTGAATTCTTTAGAGCTGATTTCTTGATAGCTAATTCTTCATCTTCCCTTCATTTTATTTATTTTGACATTGTTATTTACAACATTCACAAAAACAAATATTAGGCCCAGGATGTCCCACACTCAACAATATTCATACATTTCTCTAAAAAATGTTCATCAGTCATCGCTCTGAGCAAGACACATCGTGCACTGTGGGGATACAGCAGTGGAGGAGACAGCGTGCCCGGGGCTGCAGAGAGCCGTCACAGGCTACGTGCCCAAAGGCAGGACACACCTCAGAAGCGGGTGCAAACCAGAAGTGCATTGAAAGGTGATTGTTTTTCACTTCAGTTTGACCAATGTTCGGCTGTAGGTCAGTGAGACTAAGGAGATAGCACAAAATGTAAAGCAACATTAAACATAAGGATACATAGGATTCTGGCTGGGTGCAGTGACTCACACCTGTAATCCCAGCACTTTGGGAAGCTGAGGCCGGTGGATCACCTGAGGTCAGGAGCTCAAGACCAGCCTGACCAACATGGTGAACCCCTGTCTCTACTACAAATACAAAAATTAGCCAGGCATGGTGGTGGGTGCCTATAGTCCCAGCTACTTGGAAGACTGAGGCAGGAGAATCACTTGAACCCAGGAGGCAGAAGTTGCAGTGAGCTGAGATTGTGCCACTGCACTCCAGCCTGGGCAACAAGAACGAAACGCCATCTCAAGAATAAAAAGAACACCTAGAATTCCCTGTATAGAAAGTTTTTAAAGAGACTGAACCACACTCTCTTATTTAGGGATGCATGCAATGATGGGAAAGCAAGAGTTCCTAATAAAAGTGAATGTGGCGGCTGCCTCTGGGAAGAAAGGGAGTTTTGATGGGGAAGGAGTGAGCAAGCTCAGGGCAGCTTCCCGGGGACAGGGAACACCTTGCCCCTTGACCTGGGCAGTGTTATACAAGATTCTCTTTATATCTGTTTGTTAAAACTGTATATATAAGTTGTAGCCATTTATCTGCTTGCTATTTTACAATTCAAATAATCTAGCCAGCTGTGGTGGCTCATGCCTGTAATCTCAACACTTTGGGATTTGGGAGGGATTACTTGAGCTCAGGAGTTTGAGATCAGCCTGGGCAACATAACAAGACCCCATCTCTACAAAAAAAAAAAAAAATTGTAAAAATAAAAACCAGCTTGGCAAGGTGGCACGTGCCTGTGGTCCCAGCTCATCTGGAGGCTGAGGTGGGAGGGTGACTTGAGCCCAGGAGGGTGAAGCTACAGTGAACCATGATCATACTACTGCATTCCAGACCAGGTGACAGAGTGAGACCCTGTCTCTAAATAAATATATAAATAAATGTGGCCAGGCATGGTGGCTCACGCCTGTAATCCCAACACTTTGGGAGGCCAAGGCAGGTGGATCATGAGGTCAGGAGATGAAGACCATCCTGGCCAACATGGTGAAACCCCATCTTTACTAAAAATACAAAAAATTAGCCGACGTGGTGGCACGTACCTGTAGTCCCAGCTACTTGGGAGGCTGAGGCAGGGGAATTGCTTGAACCCGGGAGGCAGAGATTGCAGTGAGCCAAAATTGTGCCACTGCACTCCAGCGTGGGTGACAGAGACTCTGTCTCAAAGAAAAAAAAAAAAAAAAAAAGCTTTGATCGTATAAAAACCTTTTTTATTTTTTTTTTCTTTTCTTTTCATTTGAGATGGAGTCTCGCTCTGTTCCCCAGACTGGGGTGCAGTGGTGCGA